GTGTGTGTGTGTGTGTGTGTGTGTGTGTGTGTGTGTGTGTGTGTGTGTGTGTGTGTGTGTTTCAACCAGTTTCATCACTTTTCTTATGCAATCACGCTGCAAGCTGTCAACCACTGAAATGTGCAGAAACACTGCCACCTGCTGGAACAAACGCAAACTCCACTTTTTCACATTTTTGTATTTATTTCGATTTTGCTGCTTTTGGAGCACTGAGACATGTTGTAGAAGGTATCAGAAAGCAGCATCCTCAGAATAATAAAAAAATAAAAATACAGAGAAACAAGATTAAACTTTGTCATTTGTAGTGATTCACACGTTCACCTATAAAGTGAAAGATCCCAAACTCAGCGTCATCCAGCTTAAACATATGGAACTGCACACTGTGGTGACCCTTTGTGAATAAGGAAGCCGTCAAAAGAAGCTTCACCCAGTTACACAAAAACAATACAGCATTTTTGAATTAAACACCAATAAAAGACATGCACAGTGCAATGGATTACAGTGATAATAAACAGGTTATAAATACATATACGCCTGTAATAAAGTTAGGGTTCAGACATAGACTGAAAAGTCAGAAGAATTCCAGAATGAATGGGACGAATCTGGATCAGCTGACTCTTCTCACTCACTGATTACATATTTTTTTAAATTAAGTGGCTCCTGGGCAGTGATCTTTAGATCAGCACTCACTGGGCTGAGATCAGCCAGCCGTGGAAGGCCTAATCCATCGACAGATGTTCAACAGAAACAAAGAACAGCAAAGTGAGCACAGATACTGTTCTCTGCGTAGTTTGCACTCGTTTCTGCTTCTTTCTGTTTGAAATTTATTTAATATAGTTTATATGCCAGTATCCAGTGTTTTTTAATTTTTATTTTTAGCTTTGACATTCCACAGCAGCTTGTAACTGTTTTCAAAACAGAAAGGATGTAAAGGGGGAGGAGCCTACACCTGATGAGACCACCTGCGTCTTGGTCCAAGTGACAGGCTAAATGGCAGCACCTGGAATTGTAGGCGATGTTCAGATCCACAAAAGCTTTACTTTGCTCTACTATTACAGCAAACAGCAGCTGCAGCATATTTCACTTCATAAATGAGTTTGTTGGACTGAGTTATAAACGTTTCCCCATTTCTTGGCTTCCTGTCACATCAGCATCAGCTCATCCTCATATTTCCACGTATTCTTCACATTCTGTTGGTCATTACTGCAAACCACAGCTAACCACCGTGACACTTTATATCCAGCATCAGCAGCTGTGGTTATGTGTGTAGAATCACGGAGGTCTGAGGTCTGTGTGTGATGCCAAGTATCATCCTTTCACGCTTATTTATTTAGATTCATTTTTGTAGTATTCAGTCGAATACAGGCGCTCATCTCTCTGTAAGAAGCTGATGTCACACATCTGTGACGTTGTCTCGGGGCGGGGTAATGTTAGGTTGAAAGTGAAAGTGAAGGGTTTATGAGCTCAGACTCTATTTTACAGTCTACACAACAGAAGGACAACAAGGTGAGTGTTATTGTGTATTTATTTATGCCGTGTTAGAATAGAATAATAGAATAATCTGAGAAATAATAAAGTGACATGAAATATATATATATATATATAAAATATATATATATGTATAATATATATATATATATATATATAGTTTCCTTATTTCATCTTTGATACTGCAGGGCCTTTACGAACAGCAGTGACGTCACCACCCACTAAACGTTCAGCTAAAAGAAAACCAACTTTAAACCAACTTGTTCTGCATGTATCTATGAGGAAGATTGCCTGAGTGATATATTAGATCAGTGACACTTAAATAATCCTGAATTAAAACTGGGAGCATTTCACAGCGATGGTGGTCCTTATTGACAACAACATCTTATTAAGGCTACTTTTACAAGGTACATAAATGTGAGCCATCAGTGGCTCTTAAACAACACCATCCTTTGATGCATTTACCAGCCACCAGGTCACCAGCTGACGTCTTAGCTGTAAGGTCTGAATTAGGTTGCATTTTAGCCACATTAGAAATGAGAGCAGGAACTTGAAGATGTTTTCTCGTCCTCAACCGAAAAAGGGTGGAGTGCCCACTCCGGGTCAGAGATGAATTCCTGCCCCAAGTGGAGGAGTTTAAGTATCTCACGGTCTTGTTCACGAGTGACGGGAGAAGGGAGCCGGAGATCAACAGATGGATTGGTGCTGCGGCTGCAGTGATGTGGACGCTGTACCGGTCCGTCGTGGTGAAGAGACGGCCAAGCGTAAAAACAAAGCTCTCAATTTACCGCTCGATCTACGTCCCTACCCTCACCTATGGTCATGAGCTGTGGGTAGTGACCGAAAGAACGATATTGTGGATACAAGCGGGAAATGAGCTTCCTCCGAAGGGTGGCTGGCCTCTCCCTTAGAGATAGGGTGAGGAGTTCAGCCATCCGGGAGGGGCTCAGAGTAGAGCAGCTGCTGCTCCACATCGAAAGGAGCCAGTTGAGGTGGTTCGGGCATCTGACAAGGATGCCCCCTGGGCGCCTCCTGGGTGAGGTGTTCCAGGCATGTCCCACCGGAGGAGGCCCCGGGGCAGACCCAGGACACGCTGGAGAGATTATATCTCTCGGCTGGCCTGGGAACGCCTTGGTATTCCCCCGACAAGCTGGAGGAGGTGGCTGGGGAGAGGGAGGTCTGGGCCTCTCTGCTTAGCTGCCCCCGCGACCCGCCCCAGATAAGCGGAAAGAAGATGGATGGATGGACTGGCAGATGATGGATGGATGGATGGATGCAAGATGTTTTCGTTTAAATCTAGTCTCTTACATACATTTTAGGATTAAAATTTTCACTTTAAAGAAAAAAGTTGGGATGCAGCCACCTGATTTGCTCAGATTTCAGAGACATCTGAATGTTCAGCTTCTTTATAACATGTGTCTGTGTTTGATGATTGGTATGAATCATTAATACAAACACATGCCTCTGTGATGCTGGAGGAGGCTGGGGAGAGGGAGGTCTGAATGAACACTTTTTAAATCTTTTACTGTACAGCTCTGTTCAGAGTGAAGGAATCTATCTGCACATGAAATCTGCTCATTGAAAATTGTCCCCAGTGTCCAGTAACAGGAACACGTGCTAGGCACAGAGCAGAACCCAGGATACAGGATCCAGCCCTCTGTCTATACGTTACTATTATTGTTATAATTTCATTTTATGTTTTTATTTAAAAAACAATATTTTCCCTGTAAGCCAGCGCTAGTATTAAACTTTTGTTTTTGACTATGTATTTTATCAGAAAATGGAATAATTTTTCGTTTGTGTCCAGAGCGAAGAAGACAAGCAATGTTCGAGGAGCAGCTGTCCTGCTGTGCTTTGTGTCAGGACGTCCTGAAGGATCCGGTCTTCACCAGCTGTGGACACTGGTTCTGCAAACAGTGTGTCTGTTCATACTGGGACCAGTGTGCTTCATCAGGAGACTTCTTCTGTCCCCAGTGTGGAAAAATCCCCACAACAGAAGCTAAATGGCAGACAGCCAGTGAACCCAAAGTGCAAAGTACGATTGAACATCTGTCTGCTGATAGACTCATTTCTGAAAACTCGACTTCTTGTGTTATTTAGGAGTTTTCTTTCTCTTTAGTCTCATTGATTTTTTGTCTTTCAGCAGATGTTGGTCTGCAGGAGGTTTTAGATGAACATAAGATCAGTCTGAGGAGGAGATGCGAACGTGTGACTGAAGGAAGTTATGAAACAGGAAGTAGAACCCTCCTCAGCAGGAGCTACACTGAGCTCTTCATCACAGAGGGACAGAGTGAAGAGGTTCATAACCAACATGAGGTGAGGCAGCTGGAGACAGCTTCCAAGATGGAGGCTCTTGATGACACTCCAGTCCAACCAGAGACTCTTAGGAGGTCTGCTGGGTCGGACGGAGAACAGTCTAAAAAATGTTCAAATAGTCATGAACAATCTGAATGAGATGAACAGTGATGAAATGTCTCCTGACAGAAGCATTAACATCTTTCACTGTTTGATGGAGATGATGGCGATCGTGGCTCAAGATTTGGGAGTTCGCCTTGTGATCGGAAGGTTGCCGGTTCGAGCCCCAGCTTGGACAGTCTTGGTCGTTGTGTCCTTGGGCAAGACACTTCACCCATTGCCTACTGGTGGTGGTCAGAGGGCCCGGTGGCGCCAGTGTCCGGCAGCCTCGCCTCTGTCAGTGCGCCCCAGGGCAGCTGTGGCTACATTGTAGCTTGCCATCACCAGTGTGTGAATGTGTGTGTGAATGGGTGAATGACAGGTTGTGTAAAGCGCTTTGGGGTCCTTAGGGACTAGAAAAGCGCTATACAAATACAGGCCATTTACCATTTACCATGAAAAATCTCTCTGTCCATCAGGAGATCCAAGAGTTCCTCAAGTCAAAGAACAGATCAGATAAGAAACTCTCTGACATCCACTGTTCAGCTTTGGCCTACATGCTGCAGATGTCAGAGGAGGTTCGGGATGAGTTGGATCTGAGGAAATACAATGCATCAGAGAAAGGAAAACGGAGACTGATCCCAGCCGTGAGGAACTGTAAAAGGGCTGGGTGAGTCCAAATGTGATTAACAATTCAGACAGTATAATTCAAAGTAGGTTCATTTTTTTTATATTGTCCTGATGATATAATCATCCAGGTAAGGGAATTCCATCTGGACGTAGTGTACTAAACAGTACATTTGCACAATGAGCAAAATAACACCACTGACTAACAATGAGGTCAGTTTCATGATCATTAATTGTCATGACCATTGATCAATGGCCTCCAGCGCCATTCACAGACAGATTAACATCTATCAGCTTAGTCTATTTCAGCATCCTACAAGTATTTAAAAATCATCAGATTTTGATTATCTACAAAACATATGGTAACCCATTTCCCCTCTTTGAACGTAAGTATCTAATATTAACTATCAATTTCACATGCTTTGTTTACATCACCAGTCTCTAAATGACTTCTGTGGTTTAAAATGAAAGAACCCATGTGTATGCTAAGCACAAGTCTGTCACAGAGAACACCATTAACCAAAGGTCTGAAAAACATTTAAATTCCATCCTAAATTCATACACGACTCTTGCAGCAAACAAAGATAATCGTTCACAACTGGAATTGTTTAATGAGTAACCCAATACAAAAATCACATTAACACAGTGGCCAGTAAAAATGTTATTTGGATCCAGATGATAACTTTTTGGAGCCAATTGCAGAATCAGGTCATGTAAACAAACTGTGCACAGCCTGAATGCAACTTAAGTCCCTTCTGCAGATTAAAGCTAAACAATTATTAAAATAATTAAAAGAAAGAAGATAAGCTGACATGTTAGTGGGATATGTTCAACTGTTATCAAATGTGTAAAGTAGATCTAAAGGGTAACCTTTTTCCTTACAGACTTTGTGGCTGCAGACTCTCAGAGACTCACTGTGAAGTTGTGGCCTCAGCTCTGAAGTCCAGCCCATCCCATCTCACACAGCTGGACCTGAGTTACAATGAACTGCAAGATTCCGGAGTGAAGCATCTGTCTGCTGCATTGGAGAATCCAAACTGTAGACTGGAGCACCTGAGGTCAGGTCACAGACTTTAGTTTAATAAGATTTGGGCCAATGGCCAAGTTTTGTGTGTTATGGCAGTCTAATCTGGTCTTCCTGTTCTTAAATATAACCAGTGGTTTGCACCCTGTTGTAAATTTTATTTGTACATTGTACATAGAAGGCATCTCTTGAGTGTAGACTTTGACAAAGATACGCTTTGAGGATGTTCTTGACTTGGGTAAATGTTGTGAGTCATATCTTCTTCACCAGGGAAAGAATTCTATCAGTATCCACTCTTCTGTGGTTTTCCAGGAATTTTTGCTATTGCTGAGCTGAAAATTGCATCATGTCATTTTTAATAATATATCAGATTGTTAATGTGGCCACACCTAAAGGTTCTACTATTTTTCTGATAGATTTTTTTAGCCTGACAAATGCCTACATATATCATATGTAATATATACAGCTTTTATGTGTGAGCTGATACTAATTTTGCTATGAGACTTGACTGAGGACAGCAGCATGTTTGTTGATCTGTGTTGACATGAGTTATTGTTCAGGAGTTTGAACCACAATTCCAAAAGGACAAGGTCACTCTACTCATTTATGGAAAGCTTACTGGTTATTTATAGTAATACTGAACTGCACAATTAAAAATGTAAATGTTTGTGCAATAACTGGATTCTTGATTCTTGTTATTCTTTCTTTAGATTGAAGGGCTGCAGGTTGTCAGAGTTCAGTTGTGCATCTCAGCTCTGAAGTTCAACCCATCACATCTGAAACATCTGGATCTGAGTGACAACATGCTGCAGGACTCAGTAGTGAAGCAGCTGTGTGGTTTTCTAGAAAGCCCGGAGTGTAGACTGGAGACTCTGAGGTAAAATTCAAAATCTTGGTCTGTCTGCAGAATTTGTTCAAAGTTTTGTCTAAAAACTAATTTTCATTTTATTTGCATTGAAGTCCAAATGACTGTCTGCTCCTCAAAGAGGAGCTTATAAAGAAGGTTTATAACATTCATTAGCACACACTGTACAAATTAAATTAATTACTGTGCCTAACATGGGTTGTACTCAGTGGTTGAGAGGAGAGGTAGAAACACTTAGCAGGACAGTCAGAAAAACTCACGACCACACTCGTACTGGGAATTCCACAGTGCTTGTCCTTTAATGCACACTCTCTTCATCAACCTTACAAGGCCCAGTCTAACGACTACTGTTTATCATACATGAAGCACAGTGTTTCTACAACCCGTAACGTTGCAAATTGTTAGAGGGGTAAAACATATAAAGTCCGTGTCTGTCCACACTCTCACGTGCTAGCACGTTGCTCTCATACTCCACAGAGGGCAGTGGCGCATACTTCTGACCTTAAATTGTCTTAAAGAGACACCACACCATTGTGACTGTTACAAGCTTATCTCTGCGGTTGAGAAATTTATTGTTAGTGTTCTCTGAGGGGTATTCGCTTTACTAGCCCAATGTTATACACTTGTTATCTTCTCTACAAGTTAAACACATTATTACGTTATTAAATAATAAGTTTTGTTTGGTAACAACAAGTAATTTCATCTTCTGCTCAATACATTTGCAGGTTGGCTTATTCACCCTTTCAGAATAATCCCTTATCTCCTTTTTCATTTCTGCTATGGTGCCATAATCCTGATATTTTTTTTAATGAAAAACTCCTTTAAGATGTTCATTGCAGCCAGTATAGTGTCTGTTTTCACGACCTTTCATACTACTGCTTTACACACTGAGCTTTGTCACCTCGACTGTTTTATTGTTTTCCTTTTTTTCCATACTCTTGCAAGGTTGGCATCCCAGTATACTATTATTGTGATACTTCAAATAATACTCAGTAGAGCAATGCAAAAAATGTCTTACACAGTGGATGCCCTAATTTTAAGTCATAATTGATTCAGTTCCATTTTGTTTGTTTATATAGAGGCAAATCACAACAACAGTTGCCTTGCAGAATTTTATATTATAAGGTAAAGACGCTACAATAATACAAAGAAAAAGGAGAAAACCCCAACAATCATATGACCTCCTTTGTGCAAGCTCTTTGGCAAGAGTGGGAAGGAAGAACTCCCTTTTAACAGGAAGAAACCAGGCTCAGGGAGGGGCGGCCATCTGCCACAACCAGTTGGGGACCTATGGGCCTATGTTGTTTATTTTCTTTGAATGGAACTGATCCAGAGCCAGCTTTTGTTTGTTTGTTCATACACTTCCTTCCGACTTTAGTTTGGAAAATGTACTTGGCATAATAAAGGTTCAGTGGCCATTTGATGAAGAGTTTGATTTGGGTCACTACAGTAATGCTATAAATATGCACATGTAAAACCTGAAAACCCTGGATCAAATTATCTGTGATTTTAATGTATATAATTTTTTTTCTTATTCAGACTGATTCGGTGCAATTTGTCAAGGACCAGCTGTTCTTCCCTGGCTAAAGCTCTGAATGCAATCCACTCCTATCTGAAGCTTCTGGACGGGAGTGAAGCACCTATGTGGTTTTCTCAAGAGTCCACAATGCAGACTGGAGACTCTGAGGTTAGACACCATGTTTTAGTTGTACACTAGGATGAATATGATATGAAGTCTTAGCTCTGAAGTCCAACACCTCCCATCTGAAACATCTGGACATGGGTGACAACAAGCTGGAGGATTCAGGAGTGAAACAGCTTGCTAGCCTTGTGGAGAGTTCACACTGTAGGCTTGAAACTCCGAGGTCAGTTTACTTTTTTATCTGTTGCATCCATTATCCTTATGTAAGGACATCTGGATTAAGTGGATAGAAGCTGATAAGATAACAGTCCATAATTACAGAAAGCTAGAAAAAAAAAGCTTGTTGGTTAGGAATAATTATTCTTGAGCTGCACATTTAGAACCTGAACACATCTGGTTGGATTATCAATTATTTTATCTCCACATTTTATTCTTTACTCAGATTAAGGGGCTGTGAATTGTCAGAAACCAGTTGTTCTTATCTGGGTTCATCTTTGAAGTCCAACCCCTCCCATCTGAGACATCTGGACCTGGGTCACAACACCCTGGAGGATTCAGGAGTTAAGCAGCTGTCTAGTCTCATGAAGAGTCCGCATTGTTTACTGGAGATTCTGAGGTCAGTAAACGATGGTAGTCGGTCCACACGGTTTTCAGGAACACTGAACTGAAGTTAGTATCAACCCTTCGGCATTTCCTGTAAACCTGCAGGCTTTCATGAGTACAACTGAGAGGAGAACAGTGATAATAACTTATGTCAAGCAGTCACATTCAACCAGAAGCTTGCTGTGGTCTTGTGTTTGAGTTGATAACCAGACAGTTTCTTTTGTTGTGTCCGAGAGAGGTCCAAGTCCAGAGTTTTGTGTATTACTGTTAAAAGTGGAACAAATATAGGACTGGGACCAGGGGGACATCAGTCAGTGGCGGACAGATCAGCAGGTAATGTCGGTTTGGGGTAATGACAGGGCCGTGTGCGGGAGTGCTGTACGCCAAATGCCAAATTGGCGGACAGCAAATGGCGTCCCCAGGCGTTGAGGTGGAGCCCGTCTGCCCCAAAAAGATGCCTCCTCTCCCAGAAGGCATCAAAATTGTTAATAAAACCCACGCCGTGGGAGACACAGGCGGAGGAAAGCCAGGTGTTAAGGCTGAGCAGCCGGCTGAAACGGCCTATCCCTCTGTGGGGGTGGGCCCGGAGATAAAAGCACTCACCTGCAACTGACCAAGGAGGCTGAAGACTTGGAGGAAGTCCAGCTTCAGCAGCTCAGATTGCTGTTTGGGGATGTCATTGGTGCCCTAACAAATTTCTGCAGTAATGAAGCCTGTGGGGTGCTCAGTTTACTTTATGAAATTGATTAGACTTGATGCTAAAAGCTCAGCATGTTCACACCAACATGTTAACATGAAGAACTAAGAGCGCGCTAGCTACACTGCACAGCCTCTCCACTGCTGCTCTGAAGAGATCTGAACCTCTGCTGTATTTTATACTGGATGTGCTGCACATAAACACTTATTCAGTGTTTCTTTTTCTCTCCACAGATGGCTGCCATTTTGGTAAGAGAAGATGAACTGAGTCCACAGATCCACAGAGGTTGAAGCAGCAGCAGTTTGTGCATAGAGTCTCTCACTGTTCCATGTTACTGGGATGTGGTGCGTCAAGTAGAGCTCCACCCATCAGTCACTGATATAAGAATCGGAAGAAGCGCATAAAACTATGAGTGCTGCAGTGCAAACTGTAGACAATGTAGAGCCAACCATGTGAACTCCACCATGGAAGGATAAACTGTAATTATACCCATGATATCATTGTATCATACAAGAAGCACCCTGTGTGTTTCCCAGGCCAGCAGTGCTTCTTTGCTTTGCTCATGTATAAAAAGATGGACATGTATGAGCATTTATAATTTATTTCTTTTATTTTCATTATAATACTGTATATGATCAGGTGATGAAAATTTCTGTTCATAAACAGCAAATAAATTAATAATAAACATGTATTTATTGTTCTTCTTCTCTTCAACTGCATACTCATTGTATAAGACAAAGTGATGTGTTACAGGCACTGTTAGCATCACTGTCTGACATTTAGTCACAATTGTCTCAAAGTCCCACTGCGCTAAAAACTGCTTAACATAGATGTAATGTTGCCATTTGTTTTAAGACCAGCTACTGCACATAATTTAAATAACTTGTAAGTATGTGAGTGACATAAAAATAATTCCTGAAAGCTTCATAGATGTTGATAAAGTTTAATCCAGATTGATTGATGCCTCTAGCAGGAGTTAGGGAACAGACATACATACTTATGCTACAATGATTATGGTAAGATTATACCTGGGATGTCAGATTGACTATGACAGTGTACATATGTAGGTTGTATGTAGCTTTACATCATTTCCTTAGGGATTAATAAAGTATTCTGATTTTTTTTTTTTTGCATTAACATGAACCATGAAATGTAAAAAGAAATATTCTGAAAGGATATTTCTTTTATTTTTATTTTTTCTGTCATTTTTTTTTTTTTTTTGCTGAAGTAGTTGATATTTGAACATTTATACATCTGTATCCCTAGGGGTTAAGAAAGTGAGTCCAAGTTCTTTGTGGGGATTTAAGCAGTTTTTATGACAGAGAAAAAGCGCAGGTGTTTGCAGGTGTATATTTTTTTTAATTTCCTAATGACAGTTTTCGGCATCACTCTTTAAGCTGGCTAGAAAAACAACAAGCATTAATGTGTCATTGAAAATCTTTGTACTACAGTCAGTCATCCACCAGAGGACGCTGCTGATCAACAAACGGCTCTGCTGACGGGCCTCGTGAGGATGGAGCGGTTAGTAAATAAAAGTTCGCCGCAAAATCTGGATTAGCAGCCTAACACACTGCACCCCGAGGCTCCAGGAGCTGCATGCTCATCCATCAGCTCTGCCCGTGACAGTTTGATTGGTTACATATGTTTTCTTATATGTAACCAACATAAACTGCAATACCACCTGTGATCAGCTTCTGTCACCTGCCTTCACAAAGAATCAATAAACATTTTTTTAATGTGCAGATAACTTTTAAAAACTTGCTGAAAAGCTTGACTAACATGAAAGAAGTTTAAAAGCAGTTCACCGTATGTTCTGCGACATACAGAAGCCAATACTCGGCTCATACTCTGCATGTGATCAATCATCAGAACCTCTGTGCTTGTCTAAATACCGACCGATCATAAAGACGTTCAGTCCTCGCCATCACTTTCATGACAGACTGAGCCAATCGCGCAGAGAGCGTGCCACCCCGCAGTGACATCCTAAACCTTATGATGGTCTCTGGCACAGCCTCGTGGACTATTTTCTGGTTGACACCAAAAACCACCAGTCTGCATAAAAAATGCAGCATTTGCTGCAAACAAGAACACAAGTTATCAGTGACTAGTCCAACTAACGGTCAGTGAATACTGAGATTAGGATTTTCCTGAAGTGGGTCTTGTATTGCTATCTGATTATCTTGAAGTATACTTTGTCAGACCTTTGTGTATAATTTTAATTAGAATAAAAGTACCATTCAAATGCCTCAATCTAAGTAAAAAAAAACTTGGTCTTTTAGTGTGATCTCATACGGGTAACTTTGGGTGGTCTGAGCAGATTGGAGGGTGAGTTCACTGATATGCACTAAGAAATATGATCTATAACCTAATCCAGATCTGATGAAAATAAGAAATAAATAAGAAATAATCTCATCATCAATAAAGTGTTCTTTTGAATCATGTCTTTTTCTTTTACACTTTAGTTTTACTTTGAAGGCGCCGGAAGTGAGTGTGGCGGCTTTATATCTGGAGCTGAAACTTTCTCCTCTCATTTAAAGTTGCTTCCAGCGGAGGACGGACCTTCGCCGACAGCTCGCACTTTTACAGCCGCAGTCGGGTCACGGGCGCATGGCCATGGCCTCCATCGTCTGCCGGGTCCAGTACTTGGAGGACTCGGATCCGTTTATCTGCACAAACTTCCCCGAACCTCGGAGACCTCCGACGGTGAACCTGGAAGAGAACCTGCAGCTCAGCGAGCAGATCGCCGGGATCCACAAGCTGCTGGAGCCGCCGCTGAAGGTGGGTCACTGACGGGACTACCTGGTTAACGCCAGTCCTGCCGGGGAGCTTAAACCTTTACGGGGAAACCTGCGAAACCGGACCGGACAGAGAGGCTGGGGTGGGAATAAGTTTTAAATGCCTCGAATTATCCGAGGCAGGCGAAAGTTTTCAGGTGTCAAAGAGGCGTTTATGATGTTTGCTGCAGTCCAAAAACACACACCGGACTTTAAAATCATACAGTCGCGAGTCGTTCAACAGGATAGCAGCTGTTGTTCCTTTTACACATTTAATACTGAAATCAATACAAGTGTAAGAGAAACAGGATTTATCGACCTGCTCCTCATTAAAGCAGAAAACGTTTTAATTAGACTTGTATCCGTTTCTCTTTTTTTCAGTCTGATTTTCCACGTGAGAGCTTTTTCCTTAGTCCCAAGCCCCCTTTCTCTGTCAGGGATTCAGAATCGATCAGAACATAATCAATAAGGCTTAACGTCACTGCAGGGTTATTTTCACAGCAGAGGCATTCAGCAGCACCCTGAGACAAAATAAAGCCGTCTGTTTAATCGAGATGGAAAAGGGCAGAAGGCAATATAAAAATGCATAATGTGCCTTCAGAAAGGTGAAAGGTTAGGAACTGAATAAGTGCAGGTGCAGTGAAGGTAAGCTAAGTGGAAAAGGTTAAACTAACAAACTGTAACTCCAGGTTTATTTCGGGGACAGAAGGTAGACCTGAATGACCCCACCGGGAAGTCTCAAAGGAAAAACCAAAACACTCAGCACCCTGTGCGCTCAGACTGAAATGTCAACAACATTTTGTATACTTGGTTATCTTCCCTAAAGGGTGAACCCTGCTGACTCTGTGTTCATCACGGGTTTAAGACCAAATCGTTTGTCTTTCATCAAAAAGACCATTTTATGTCATCTTCATTTAATGCCTGAAAGCTGTGGGGGGACTTGTGTCCTATTATTTCCCTCTCAAACTAATGATCAGGCCGTGTCATGTTGTAAAGACCTCATAGAATAATATTATTCAGCCTGCAGGCTTACTTGTGGTTCCTGCTTTTCTGAAAGTAGAATGGGAGGCAGACCTTAAGGGTCTCTTCCTGTTTAAAGGAAGTTCTTCCTCCCCACTGTCACAAAGTGCTGCTCATACTGGATCTTCTGAACATTTGTATCACTGGGAAGTGTCTGCAGGCGATTGTTGTGAACAGGGACTGTATAAATAAAACTGGATTGATTCAAAATGAAGAAGTAGTCTTCCTGCCTTTTGAAGCTATGTATGTGCAGTTTTGCCTCATGAAATTATTGTGAGAAGTCGTGTTGCTCCGCTTCTCAATGGTCCATTCTGTCAGGGAGCTGAAAATGTGGCTGAAAATGGTGAATTTAATGCGTCGTTGTTTGGAAAAGCGGAATAAGCTTCGTGGTCCTGTTTCCTGTTGCTTGGGTGACTAATGATGCTTCTTTGTGCTAAGGAGTCTGTTTTTCCAAACAGGAAGTGACGGCAGCGTCATGTCACTCAGGCTCACTCAGCATTATGTCAGCATGCTGTTACACTGCAGTTAGTCATGTTACATGTAAGCACACATTCCACAGTTCTGATGGTCTGAAGTACACGGCACAATAAAGTGATTGCGTAACATTGCTGAGAAGAGCGGCGTCTGGTTTAAGCGTCAAAATGAAATGAGGTTAATTTTAATGGGCGACTGTCAGAAACATCTAAATGACTTTTGGCTACAGAGTTTATGATGGGCTGTAATACAAGAAGCTTTTAATTGCAGCCTGTTAAATGAAGATTAGCAGCAGTGTTATAATTCAGTGAGCCCTGATGGTGCCAGTGTTGTGGGACTGTCTGACATTAGGTAGCATTATGAAACTTACAGGCTAACTTCAGAGCAGATTTCTCTGAGGCTGGATGGTTTTCATGACAACCGCTGTACACGAACCTAATTTCCACAAAATTTCCAAGAAGCTAAAGTTGCCATCTTTGATTTCACTCCTACTAAAGCTCCTTGAGAACGTCATTATTTACCTGACTTATCAAGAAAAGCAAGGGCTGTTTTTAAAGCTGCCTTTTGTAATGACACTCTGCACGTTTTAATTAGTCCACTGTCAGGAGGAGTTTATTACAAGTCAAATATTTATTTATTTATTTATTTTAGCGCAGCCTTTTTTCCAGACCCTTATGTCTTCTTAGTTACGTGTTTGGTTAAAAGAGATACACTCGTTTTACGACCTTGTGGTGAAAAGTGGTATTACACTAAAGTGCAGCCTTGTACATAAAGAAGCATCTTTTTTTTTCTTCACATTCTGTCTTTATTTAATTTTTAAAGGTTTTTATCACAGGTATTTATAATAAGTATTTTATCTGCGGCAGAACCCTGAGCCTGGTTCTGCTGATGGTTTCTTCCTGTTAAAAGGGAGTTTTTCCTTCCCACAGTCGCCAAATGCGTGCTCATAATGGGTCGCCTGGTTGTTACGGTTTTCTCTCTATTGTTTTAGGGTCTTTACCTTTTAAAAATAAAGCACCTTGAGGTGTTGTTTGATGCTATATAAAGTGCTACTGCATTTAATTGGAATTGAATTAAAGTTGCATTATTTTCACACACCAAGAGCTGCTCACAACTGTCTGTACCCGTGCATTTCTTCTTCACTGTTACAGCCTAATGAAGCTTGGACTGTGTGGTCATTTCCATCTGTCTTTTGTAACTCCATGTTGTAGTTTTAGTATTTTTTTTAATTTTTTTTTTTTAATGGTCTTTGAAAAAATAGTTGAAAAAACTCCAAATAACTGAACCAGTCAGAAATGTTCAGAGCTGCAAGCCCTGGCAGGAAGCTGCACGTACTTATGAAAGAAAGTTGGATCAGGAATTATTTGGAGGTAAAACTTGGAGCTTAATTTAGACCTTGTTTCATCTGGTGTTAACACAAAAGAATGGAAGTTGCCATAAAACCCAGTGTACTCACAACCTTTAGTCCCAGGAGCCTTGTTCACCTTTGGCCTTTAGTTCTCTGCATTTGCGCTCCAGATGAGTCACACATGTCATTATTGTGCACGACTCTACTACACCTTATTTTCAGTCCATGTTTGGCATGCTGCTCTAAGGCCACAGCATAGTAAACAAACGCATTAGCAACAACTACATATTTTTTATTTTTAATAATAGTGGTGAGCACCAATCAGGAGCATTTCGAGCTGCAAGGCTGACCCAAAAAGTTCCAGAACCTTAAGATAATAATTCCTTCAGACATTTATTTTGTAAAGCGGTTTCTTTGCCAGTGAAGAACAGAGTCCCGGCAGTGGAAACACACTGAGCTCTTCCAAAGCCTCCTAGTCCCTGCAGTGCAAACACAGCTTTAACAGTGAAACCGAAGCATGACGATGACATATCTGAAGATGTGTTTTAATGGTTAGTCCATCCAGTCAGCGTCACAAGAGCAATTTACTGATGATGAATCTCATAGTTCCCCTCATCTGTCTTAACCCGACTGCCATAAATGCACAAGTAGTTTTCCAGGACAAATTTCCAGCTTTCAAGCAATCAAAGCTCTCACAAGCTTCAGCCTCAAGCTACCGTGGTCATAGCTGCAGACAAGGAAACGGGACCCGTAACTTCTAGGAGCTGATGGAGGCTTTAGAGCCACACTTGTTCAAACTGAGAAACTCCTCATGTTTCCGTTAATGCTCGAAAGAATGTAGAAGAAATGTAACTGTGCCGCTTTAGACAGTAATCAGACTACAGTAACTACGAGCATTCAATAGTGATTTGGGTTTGGAGGGTGAGACGTTACAGCGCTTCGCACAAAAACAATAGAAATATCCGTGTGAGCTGCCAGGTACAGACTTTCAGATATGTATTATTGCTAATAGTTGAAAAGTTACAGTGGTATGATTTAAAGTTTTGCCTTCATCCATCTTATTGACGTCACATTTTGCTCTTTTTCCCTCTGCAGTTATTAAAAGAAGGATGAAGCAATCATTGCTCAGCAGTCTTTGTTTGAACATGTTCTGCACTGTTTCTGTGAAACACTAGTGCTGATTTCTCACTTTCTAAAAAAGGAAGTTCTGTTTCAAAGATTCATAGCCATCATGTGAGCCCGACACCAGCCTGCCGCGAGGCGGCCGGAGCCCGGCTGGAATTTCGAGCATCAGATAAGCACCAGAGAACGCTGGTCCCTATAGATTACATTCCTCCACTGACCCCCTAATTGTTCCCATCTTGCCCCAGGGCTCGACCTGAGGCAGCTCCCCGCCTCCTTGATAGATTCAGTGAGATAGTGAGAATGGTACACAGTCATTACATCTGCTGTGCTGCACGAAGCTGGTTCTATTTCATCGCCGTCCTCCTGCTTCACTGCCTGGTTTTTGGAGGAAAAGGGTGGGACCTGTAAACAGCAGATAAGCTCGGATGGATGCATGGACGGATGTAATACTAAGAGCAATGTGTTGATAAGAGCTGAACAGGCTTTTCCTTCCCAAAATTTGTAGGCAGCAGTTGCACAAACAGTCTGTCGATGAGTTTTGTTTCATACGCTCAGTGTCGGCTTTAAAGAGGATCAAAGTAAATTAGCAGCAGTGTTTATTTAAATCGAGTGTAAAGCTGTTTGCACATGATCTCCGGACAGTGTCGCGGGAAACCGTCTGAGTTTGTCCCGTCTTGCATTCAGCACACACTGCACAAGATTCTCCACATATGTTTTGTCATTACTGGAAATACTTCATTTAGTTTAGGCAGTGCGTGACGTCTCGCCTTCTCCTCTTTCTCAACCAAACCAGTTCAGACAGACGACTGCTCTAATACAATTCATAAAGTCATCCGGGCACCACTTTCACTTTTCTGTCATGGCACGTTCCTGTCAATTAGAACTTCTTTGCAGACAGACGAGGTGTTTATTGACCTGGCATGAGAGCGTGTCCTGGTAAAGGTTTCACTCCATTTGTTGTACCTGCACGATGAATGTGAACAAAACAGCTGAGGGGCCTCTTCTAATTTCCCCTGTCAGCTGTTGCCACAAATGAACAGAGAGAGGATAACGTATCAGGCGTCCAATCAGCTCAACGTCTTCCCAAAGCCTTCGTTACTCCCCGTGTTTACTGTTTTCTTATCTAGAATCAAGTCAAATGTGATTGGCTGGTGGGAGCTGGATGGATGCGCTGATAGGCCGATGCGCTGTACAGACTCGTCCGAGCTGATGTTGGACGAGGCGCATTTGCAACCACTGCATTGTGTTTTCATGCAGTTGTGTGTTATTTGTGTTACAACTCTGCAGCACTCTCTGTATGTGATTCTTTCCAGGTTAACGTCACTTGCCCCAAATCTGAAGTAATTCCAAACAATGGATGATGATGCTCTTCACTTCCTGCTGTGTCACACATTTGATGTTTGTTTTGACAGGATGTTGTAAATCCGTCTTTTAACATTTGTTACTCATACAGACTGGAACAGGGAACAGCTGTCATCGGCACATGCAGCCATGTCATCAGGCGCAGTATTAGGCTTCATTTGCCTTTGCTTTGCATTATATTGGCAGAGTACGCTTTTTAGTATTTAGTTTAATTGTGGGAAGCCAAAATCGTGATTGAGATTTAGATTTGACTAATTGTGCAGCCCAAGAACACACACTCGTGCTCGGAGTGAATCCTTTGCGCGGTTACAGTCTCTGTCCTCGGAGTTTGTAGCAGGACATCTAATCCAGCTGATTCAAATTAGAAAAGGTGGCGTGTTCTTCAACCTTTCCTGTTTGGTTTTGCAAAATAATAAATACAGTTATGACACAGTTCTGCATAACTGAAGCATCTACATTTTGACCCAGTGGGTCAATAGGATGCTAATCAATGAGGACCAAGAGGGGGGAAGTTGGAGGAGGAAGGCGCCACAACATGCGTATGTGTTTAAGCCATTCCTGTCCACTCTAAGATGTTAGGTTAAAAAAAACATTTTTAACCATTTTGTCCCCACTTCATGGAGATCACCGTAAAATACTAACACTCACAGCCGAACTCCTTTATTTGGGCAGAATCCTGGTGAGATGGAGAGTCGGTGTGTGCTTCCTGTGTCTGTACTCCAGCTTCCTCCTACGGTCCAAACACTTGTTAGCTTAACTGGAGATTTTAGATTACCATGGATGTGAGGTAGATGTGCTCTATGGCGCCTTGAGTGGTCGGTAAGACTAGAAAAGCTCTCAGTCTGAAGGTTCTTAGTGTCTAGGTCTTGGTAATCTAAGGAGCTTGGAAAGAAAAGCGACTGGACTGAAGTTTCTTGAAGACATTTCATGCGAGAAGCAGCTTCTTCAGTTTGCACATAAAGGTCAAAGGTCACTCTTTTGAGGATACCAACGTTCACATTTTGGACAGAGAAGACAGATGGTTTGAAAGAGGAGTGAAAGAAGCATCTATGTCCACTGTGAACAACCATCTTTGAACAGAGGGCGGGGCTTATGACACCCACTGTGCCATCTATAATCCAGTTTTGAGATCCTTCCCAGACGCCTTAACGCCCACTCGCATCCTGGGCCATTTGATCTCAATAGATCACATGACAGGGTGGGGCGCGGTCTCACTATGGGTTAGCCTGAAACCTTGGCTGATAATGACCTACACCCATTTCCACACCTGACTCAGATGATCAATAGTCGGTCAACAACCCTGTTAGGGACACTCCCAGTAGGCCTTAATAATCTGGGATTTGCAACCAATTGGTCTTAGAACTAAAGAAGCTTCTTGGATGAAACGTCTTCAAGAAACTTAAAGCAGTCCAGTCGCTTTTTTCCCAGCTCCTTAGACTACTCTGTATAAAATGTGAGTGCAAACTCAACAGACTTTTCACAGAAAAGGAAGGTTTTTGTAGACTCAGATGTAAAATTAGTTAAACCTGAAAATGTGCAGATTAAGTCAGAGGGATGTTTGGAGCTGCTTTTATGGTCACTGTCTTCTTTAAATCCTTACTGAAAATTATAGCGAAGAAAACGTAAATCCACGAACAACCACGTGACCTGCAGTTACACCATCAGTTTAAAATGTGGAGGTGAGCCTCCTCCGCCTCCTCCGTGCAGCTCCAGGCTGACGGGAAGGATCTGTGTTGTTGGAGAAGAAGAATGTGGACCTGCAGGTCTAGAGTCTGACACTCAAAAGCAGACCTGATGTGTTTGATAACTGATTATTGTACCTGGCCATGGCTCTGCTACAAACATGCTGCCAGGCCGAGCAGGGCGGCTATAAATAGACATGAAGCTGATGTGGATCACAGACCCTGTTTTCTGTTTGAGTAAAAAACACATTCCTGTTGCATACTGCCCCAGAAAACACAGAGCGTGTGTGACCTGTTGGATCGGTTTTGTAAAGCAACTTTCTGTCACATGTAAATAAAATCAGTGAAAGTACAGAAACCACAGATACAAAAGGAGGGAGGGGTTAAACGGCCATTTCTAAAATATACAGAATAACGTCTGACGCGAGCAGCATTCATGTTTTACAGCTGACAGTACGACGGCTGAATAACTGTACGATTATCCAACAGCACAAATGTCACACACCAGCTCCAGCTTTAGAAATGGCTGTGAAACATTTACAGCAGCGACAGTTACTAATTAGCTTCTCTCAGCCTAAACCAACTTTGTTTGCATGAAGCAGTCTGTTTTATTACAGATTACATGGATTTTTCTAAATGATGTGTTCCAGTTTCAATAATAAAAATCCAAGTTATTTGGATGGTGCGCCTTCTTCACTGAGGTTAGTCATGGAGTTCCCCAGGGTTCTGTGCTGGGACCAATTATTTTCACTGCCAAAGGGAAGAATGTATAACATGAAAGCACTGCGTGCATTTCCATTGTTCTGCAGGTAATGCCTAGTTATATTTAGCAATACAACCAGATACACAAGTCAGTTAAATTGCAGACATGTTTTAAAGACAAAGGGCGAGATGACTCCTGTTTCCTGCTGCTAAACTCGGATTAAATTGAAGTTACTGTATTTAACCTCAGAAACACATTGACTAATCTGATGGCATTGCACTGGCCTCTGTTAACACTGCAAGGAACCTTTGAGTCACTTTAATCAGTGTCTCCTTCAACAAACACATTAAACAAATATGCATGACTGCTTACTATAAAAATTAGAAACCTCCCGTGTCTCTAATGTTATCATTTACATTCTGGAAAACTACTCGTGAGTTATGAAACGGTAATATTAAAGACCTATTAGCGTCATATTATTCCTACATTTCCCTACATGGCTGTTCAGTTTCAGACTGTGGGCTTTCTTGTGGTTCTTAGTGATGAAAAGTAGAATAGGAAGCTAAACCAGGGGTGGGCAATCTCAGTCCACGAGGGCCGGTGTCCCTGCAGGTTTTAGATCTCACCTTGGGTCAACACACCTGAATCACATGATTAGTTCATTACCAGGCCTCTGGAGAACTTCAGGACATGTTGAGGAGCTAATTTAGCTAATTCTGTTGAACGATGTTGGTGGATTGGTACCTTCCTAAAGTGTACTGAGATGCCCATTGTTATGAATTATTTATATACAAGTACAATAGAGTTGTTATAAGGTCCTGCTTTATAATGGTCGTGGTTCATTCTTGATAATTCGCTTTGTCTTTATTTTTCCAGTCAGCCAGAATATTTACATGTCATGTAAATTCAGTAAAATCGGGCGTTCTGCAGAAACGACGGTGGAGGAATCGCATTTGTTTGAGCTAAAGCATCGGCACAACAGTCGAGTGTTTTCTGCCGCTGTTGAATCTGACAGCATTGTGTCTCATTACATTACATTGATAAACCAGGACTCCATTGTTTTTAACAAGAATATAATAAATATAATGAAGTATAAATGGCATTTCTCTCTGACGCAGGACAACATGGATCGATGTGATCCTGGACTAAATCAACGTCAGTTTTTCTTGTCCTGTGGCTTTAGAGTTGACACAAAATAGAAGTCGCAGCCAAGCATCGGATCTGCAGCTGTCCTACACTGTGCTGTAAATAAATGCATGAATCAGTCATGCAGAAAAGCTGTTATTGATCAGCTAATTGAAGTTGGTGGCTTACATTTTGCATAAAGTGTGACTCCTGATATTGGAGGATTGTTGCATCTTGTTGTATTTGCCATAAATGTGACTGTTTTCAGTCTGTGATTTATTCGGACAGCAGGTGTCCTCGCATTAGTTACCAAATCTCAAAATGTCTTCAGCTTTATGAGGCTGGATGATCCTTTAGAAATCTGGGTGCAGCTTTAGTGTGAGACTCATCCAGATTAGCCAGTATCCGGGCAGATTACTTTCTCCCACATGAATATAGAGGCAAAGATCCACAGACCTCATCGGTTAAACCGGTCGAGTCAGTTTTGTTTGTTTGCAGCAGCGACTGCAGGATCGGTTTCTACTGACACCAGAGATCGGTGTCCCTCGCTCTGCCTCGGCTTTTCACACACAAACAAATCTGTTCACAGCTGAGCTCTGTCGTGATTCAGCATTGGTTAAACTTGATCTTCACATATGTCTCTGTCTGTGTGTCCATCAGCTGGAAGACTGCACCCTCCAGCTGTCTCCCAGTGGAAACTATCTGGACCTGGACTCTTCTCTGGCTGAGCAGCGAGACGAGCTGGAGAGCTTCTACGAAGATGTGGCGTAAGAAAAGCTTTAGTGTGTGTGTGTGTGTGTGTGTGTGTTTTTATTGGGAACATGACTGCAGCCAAACATGTCATGCAGAGACATGCCGTCCTTGTAACCCCACAAACAGAAAAAAGAAGCACTGGACCCACACAGACCAAAACAAACGCTGTCAACAACATACTCAAGTATTAAAATAAAATAAAAAATAATATGGGGAAAAATGGCCAAGTTAAAATAAAGACAAAGCACATTTTTATCCTTTTTATAAAACAATAGTAGTTTACCATTACTCATTATAATACACTTTATGTAATTTAAAGTACTATTGTTATTATTCATTTTAATTATGTTCATATAGCACATGTGTAACATTGATTGTTTAGTAAAAGTTGTTTACACGTTGTCGCGAAATCGATCAATGCAGAGCAGTGTCACAAACCACGGAGGCCCCAGAAAAGTGCAATCAAACAGCCCGGAGAAAACATCAACATATGTCTTCTGACCAAAATACATGTGGTGGACACTTATAAAGCAGTGGGCCTGACACATTCCTAAATTATATACATGTACTGTAAGCATGCATTGCAGTTATCCTTCTATGCTCTAGTTTCCCTCAGCATGTATCACCTGGACAGTCACGCCAGTGAAGCTTAAGACCCTTAATGAACCGAACATCAACTCAAAGTAAGCACAGATATGCAATGTGTATAAAATACTTCTAACCGTACTTGTAATAAAAGTTAACATAATGGAAAGATCCTCATATGAACAGCTTCAATAAACAGCTGTAATGCAGTATCGATACGGTGAGAAATATTATTAGATGAAACAATGCTGTAAAGAATGTTATCAATGCAGTTATAATGATGCAGATTATATGGCAGCAATAAAAGAATTTCTGTATCTCCACAACATTTAGTGATAAATAAGTGAAAACTGTTTTTGTCGTCGGGCGCTTTAAAAGCTTTGCTCGCTGCAGGCGGCAGCTTCATACTGACCGGCTGCCCGAGAACGTACGTGTCTCAGAGTATAACGATGATGCCTAATTGTGACATCAGCTAAGATGCACAGGAATAATTTGACCCTATGCTGTATATACTATACACTCCTGCCAACACTGTCTTTAAAGGTGTAAAACATTCTGGGGGGTTAAAAAAGGCAGGTGTGAAAGTGAGATCACAGGAAGTACCATTTTAAATTTAATTATTAAAGATGATTGCTATTTTATTTTATATAAAAAGATATAATAATTTTAAAATATACATCTGAAGCTCAGAGGTCCAGAGTGATATTTAGAATCCCTGTGCACGTAAACGTTGTCTGAGTCAGAAACATGGGTTTAAATCACTCTGTATGGCATCATCGCTTTGACCTTCGGATCCATCTGTTGACCTTGAAGGTGATATTTTAAATTTTTACTTTTCAAATGTTCCCAACAGACAGCACGCTTGTAAGTTGTCGTCAATTTTCATCCAATAAATCATGAAGTTAACCACAAAGACCTCGGGGGATGGAGGCCATTTTTTAATCAATTGTTAACATGACCCCGCTCGTCACCGATCAAAACTTCGTGTCTACAGACAGGAGCACCAAAAACACAACTTCCTTGGTAGAGGTAATAAAAATATGAATAATCAAAATAATGGCTAAAAGAAGTAGAATTAGTGGGATAAGTTTTCTCCCACTTATCCCATTCAGGGTTAGGAGGCGGTTGAGCCTATCATAGCTGTCACAGGGCAGGAGGCCCAGGACACCCTGGACAGGTCAGTCTGTCACAGGACTAAAGTGCGCAGATAACCCTGCACACCTATGGTTGGTCTTCCTAGCCCGATGCAGGTCTTTGGACTGTGGGAGGAAGCTGGAGTATCTGGGTTCAAATCCAGGCCTCAGACTGGATCTTCTTTCTGTGAAGAATCACATTCATTTCAGTGATGTGGAACTGAAACACATTATAGCTGCTTGGTGACTGTGTGTGTCCAGCAGTGTAAACTCTGTGCGATGCTGTAAGAGCGTCTGAAAAACGTATTCCTCTTTTAGCCTCCAGACAAACACGCCCACCTTTACATCTTCCCTTCTCCCGTTTCTCCTTCTTTCTCGCTCTCATTCTTTCCATACCTTCATGCTGTCGTTCTTTCCATACTCTAATCCCAGCATGCCGCAGTCTGACTGTATGTGGAAACTTAGCTGTTCTGGGATCACCTCAGACCAGCTGTCTGCACACACTGATCACACTGACAGTGGATCAGGACTTCTTGTAGAAGCAAGTCTTTGTGAAAACTGCACTCAGATCTGATTAAACCCACTTAAACCCACTTTGGAGGTTCTTCTTCCATCGTCTTTACTGACTCGGTGTTCTCTCAAATATGCCAACTCGGGACTCTTTGAGTGCCATGTCCCTCTCGTACGATGATTCGATTACACAAAAGTTAATCTGGTTAGATGTCTGTCACGGAGCTGGCTGCTCTGACTGAACCTGAACTCGGAGTCGTGACTGTTTTTTGTTCTGAACTCAAACGGTTTCTTATTTTTCCACAGGAAAGGAAGGAAGCCCATCCTGATTCTGAGGACTCAGCTCTCTGTTCGTGTTCACTCCATCCTGGGTAATTATGTCCTCAGTCTTCTGCTTTACTTTTTCCCTCCGTCCTCTCCTGCAGCACAGGAGTGATGACTCAGGGGAAACTCTCGCCATCTTCCACCACGGTGACGTGTTGCACTCAGCTGGGAGGATTTCCTCCCTCTGAGTCTGCAGCTTAGAAAATACAGCGGTTACTTTCTCCACATGAAGTGGAGCTCAGGTTTAGAGTTTTACTCGGCTGTTGTTTTATTTGTTGAAGGTGCTGAACATCGGGAAAGGTTAGCAGTAGCTCCTCTGAAGCTTGTTTACAGGGATCAGAGGTGTCCTCTGAGCAGGCTGCTGGAAGGCTGAAAGTCTTTAAAAGCTTCATGGTTTTAAGTGCATTTTGGGAAATGTAGTTTCCTGCAGACTGACCCCACAGGGAGCTCACTGGTGTGAATGTGAGTAAGACAGGATTAGCATGACTCTTCTCACTTCAGGCGAGCTCCAACTAAAGTCTGACACTGCAGACATTTTTAAGACCAGAAACAAATCTCCCATTGAGGTTTCCATGGAAACGGATCGGCTTGAGAAGACGAGCTCCTGTCCGGACTCATCCTGGTTACGTTTACAACAGGAGGAGGAGCGCGGGCATGTTGAAGAGTGTCAGGACTATGTTAGGAAATATTGTGGATCTCCTGATGATATCGCTCATTTCATCCAGCGGTTTCCTCACAGCAGCCTCGTTTATCGCCGATTTCATCTTCAGAAACGGAATGAAGTCGTGGCTCCTGCTTGTCTCGTTTCAGTCCCGAGGAGTGTATTTGACAAGCGAGAGTAATGCTATCGCGAGTCATGTCGAGGTTAAAGTCGGAGCTTTCTGTGGTTTTTACCGTCTTAGATCCCTGTGGTAACTCGCGCTGAATGCAGGAGCTGGTTGGGATCAGGTTATCTTCAGGCTTTCCATTTCACCTGTACCTTACTAACATGGCACCAGCTATAAACCTAGACTGCAAACTTGTCAGTGAGCTGTGCATGTACGGAGTTGGTGATGCAGGAAGTATTTAAATGTTCTGATACTTATTCTGTGCATAAAATTAAACTCTTCATCGCTTTCAAGCTGCTGAAATCACAGAAACCATCAGGAACACCTGTGCAGTCATCTCCTTTATTAGGCTGCAGGACAGCAAGTTTAAACTGGATCCATTTAAATATTAAGTTTTAGCCGTCACCAGTGGGAGTGTTTACCTCGAATTAAAAGGTTTTTTTTATCTGCTCTGTGCAGCTCTGTAATCACCAGATTGATGATTTTCTGCAGTATGAACCTCTGTGTTACATTTTTATTTTTATGTTCTTTATAGACTTTTTCTATGCCAGTGCTTTCTATCTAACATTCACACATTTGTAGTAACTCTGGGTTAGTATCTTGTCCAAGGATATTTGGCATGCAGACTGGATCAAATCAACCCACCAACCTTCTGGTTAGCAGATGACCTGCTCCGCCTCCTGGGCTACAGCCACCCAGGATGCAGGGATTAGCAGAGAAAGATGATAACCACTATCATCGCACCGTTATCTCAAATATGATTTTAGGTTTTGTCGAGCCAGCTAACACAAGGAGAGCCTGGCTGTGTTGAACATCAGTCTACCCCTCTGATTTATTTAAATGTTTTCACATAAACCAGTTTACATCTGAGCTCACTGGGAAAGCGCGAGGTGAAGCGAATCAGTTATCAGTCACGGCAGTATTAGCACTTTCTGTACATCCTGTGCTTTGATTTACCTTTTCATGCCATCTCTAAAAGCTTCCCTTTGCTCTCGTTTCCTCTACTCACTGCGTGTCTGGTTATATTCCTTCTGTGACCTCTGACCTCTGTCAGGGGTGTTGTTGTACCAGTTTTAAACCTCCACAGTCACGTGGAGCAGACCTAAGCATGAGACCTGTAATATGAAGCCTGCTGTTCCTGTTGGTGGTCAGCATGATCAAACCTGTTTGTTTTATTTTCCTCAAAGCTATCAGATATTATAAGTTTTAAACTTTAAGGTTTCTCATCTGTCAGCACCGTGATGGAAGTGACACACCTACTCGCAGACTTAAAGACGACCTGGCGCGGACTATCAGGATGTGGTGGGGGGGGCAAGCACAGAGTAAAGGAAGGCACATTTTGAGGCATTAGCTTGGCATAAGTTTAAAGAAACTGTTGTGCCTTCCTCTAATTAATCGCTGCCAGCGCACCATCCGGTGCACACACTGATGGATCCAAATCAAACACAGCCACCGGGCTGCAGCAGGTGCATGCTGGGTGTGGCTGCGTGCTGAACGGCTCATAGACCGACTCATGACTGGTAATCATCAGAAATCCCCGAGGAGCTCAGCGAGGGGCAGAGCCTGCAAATATTTAACTTTTTATTGTTTGTAAACAAAGAGGCTGAGTGATCTATTTCTGCTCTATTGTTTGTTGTTGTTTATAAACGGAGAGCGCGGTTTAAAGTGCTTCAGCCTGCTGCTGATCGTTTAAACACCGGCTCTCTGGGTTCTGCAGGTTAATGAGTCTCATCTCTGGACACCAGCTGGCTTTTTCTTCTTAGTCATGTTGTTTAATTGTGAGTCAAACAGGAAGTCATTTATGTAACGCTATTAGAGGGCCCTACTAGAATAGCTCTGCATGAGTCGCAGATCATAATCCTCCTTAATCATCTTACATTGGGCCTTGCTCTTCATCCTTTGTCTGAAATGAGCCAGTTTAGCCCCGCCCACTTTAAATTAACTTTCTGATTGGCTCTCACTTTCTGGTTTTCAAGTGGAAAAAAGAAACATGAACGTTAAATGAGGGCATATAAGGACATGTATAAGAGATCTGCACCACCTGCTTTTATTGTTGGTCACTTTGTTGTATTTGCTGTCTGTCTGTCAGGAACACATTTGGGGACCCGTTGTCCCGGTTTCCAGCTTTTTATATTTTTAGTCTCTGACTAGTATATAGTAGCTTTGCATACTTTGCTACTCATAAATAAAATAAAACTTTATTTTATACTGAACCTATCAGTTCATTCTGTCTGAAATAAGCAGTTTTGGCTCCACTGTCTTTAAGAGAACTTCCTGAGGACGATATTACGGACGTCAATATTTCAATATGAGAATGATGTAAATGCAAAGAAGTAAATGCATATTAGGCGGGGGTTGTCCGTGTTAAAATGAGGACAGTGTCTGTTTATACACCACAGAGCAGTTTGTGTAAAATAAATCTGTGGGTATCGTCAAAGAGTTGGGCGTTCGTCTTGTATCGGAAGGTTGCCGGTTCGAGCCCCGGCTCGGTCGTTGTGTCCTTGGGCAAGACACTTCACCTGTTGCCTACTGGTGTTGGCCAGAGGGGCCGATGGCGCGATATGGCAGCCTCGCTTCTGTCAGTCTGCCCCAGGGCAGCTGTGGCTACAACTGTAGCTGCCTCCACCAGTGTGTGAATGTGAGAGTGAATGAATAGTGGAATTGTAAAGCGCTTTGGGTGCCCTTGAAAAGCGCTATATAAATCCAATCCATTGTTATTATTATTATTATTATTATTATTATTATTATTATTATTATATATTATTATTTATTTATTTATTTATTTATTTATTTATTTATTATTATTTCTACAGTTCGATCCTGATGTGTGTAAATGGAAATTTGGTTGCGTGTTTGCGTTCACGTCGCGGTCTAAAAGCCTCCCTGTGGTTGTTACTTACACCAGTGAATACAGACAACATGAAGCAGCTCAAACTGAGCGGATTCACCTCATCTGCACTCTTGCTCTGCATGTGGCTGATTATTTATTGTTGCTGACTGTGTCTTGGCTTTGGGCACGATGGTCTTCCGAGCCTCTCGGCGGTTCACTGAACACTTCTGTGTTTGTAGCTGTTTTCATCCCAGCAGACCAAAGCTCCACTCTGGTTTTGGGGCTTTTATTTTTAGCCCTTTTCTGCCCTTATCTGCGCCTGTGGTGTTGCTGCTCACAGCAGCTGGACACGCCAGCGTCAGAAAGGACGGAGCCGGAGGTAGAAAGCCTTCGCTTTCATTTTCTTTAAGAGTTTTGAAACAATGCTGGAAAGTTCTGCAGGCAGAGTGAGAAACGGGAGAGACTGTGTTCCAGTCAAATGACCCAGAGGACATCCTGAGACAATCACACTCGTAAACTACACATAACTGTGTTTAGTGGCACTGTGTTTTGCCATAAACTCATCATTAAAATGCATTCTTCAAAAAGCTTCCACCTGTAGATGGAGTAGTTCTGTTCAGAAGACCAGTGAGTCTCTCTGTCGTCTTTGTTTTGCATCATTCTGACTCCAAATTTGTCATTTTCATTTCCTTTAAGGCGTTTTTGAAACAATCAGGTTCTGCAGGCCGAGTGTGAAACGATCTCAGGGGATCCAGTGGCTGTTAAATGACACAGAGGAGCCCTGAGATTCATCAACTACACTTTTTCCGTTTGTGTCTCTTTAATTGTTATGCATCTTTGTTATTGTGTGTCTTTGAATCTCAGGATCCTGTGAACAGCTTCAGACTTGGGTTGTTGGAGGTTTCCATGTGTTTGTTGAGATCAGTGTCCGTTTCTCATGTAGCTGCTGAGGTCTGACTTCAGTTGGTCAGAATCTCCTCTCCTGGGAAATGCTGAACTTTCCCAGAGTTCCCGCTGTCAGCCACTTATTCCCTCCCTCCCTCCCGTGCTGCCTGGCATGACCCCACCCTTCCTGCTCCGGAGGGGATTTCCCAGAATGTGTACTCCTTGGAACCCTCGCTGTGATTTGTTTGTGATTGTCACCCAACAGACCACGCAGAACTCACAGAGCTTACCTTTTGTTTCTCTCTGTAGAACCAGTCTTATTAGACTGAGAATGATCCATTTCTTTATCTGCTTCTTTATGAAGTAAAATAGCACTGCAACACGACTGTTCTGGGATCAGTTTGAAGCCCACAGGAGGAGATTAACACATTACGAGGATGCCACGTCCTCCCACTGGGACCCTCGGAGGGTTCAGACCTGGTTTCAGGGTTTAGGTTAGACACAG